GATACTCGGTGAACAAGGTCTCTTTCCAGAGGTTGGGGGTCAGGGAGCTATAGGTCTTGGAGATGACGCCAATGGTGGCCTTGGCAAAGTTACCCAGAGTGGTAGGGATGCAGCCAATGTCAGTGTGGCCACCACCAGCAGTGTCTGGGGCTGATGACGCCAGTGCCTCTGGGGTTGGATGAGGGTCACTAGCTCCGAGTCACTGCAGCCTGTCACTTTGCACGGGACGGTGTGGGGCTTGCCCGTCTTGTTCCCCCAGTAACCCGTCCATCCACACAGGGGACAGAGAGCTGGGCCAGGATGACACCCCCTCGGATGGCAGTGGCTATTACCTCCCTGGAACACTTTCTGCCCAAACCCACACGACCATTGTAGTCAACACCTGACGCTGGCCCACTGGTCAGCACACTGCTTCTGAACCTGCGTGACTGAGGGACGCCCCCAAGAAAAAGTCCCAGGGTCTTAGACTCCTTGGTGGGCAGGGACAGGAGAGCAGTCTCCTCCAGAAACTTGATCTGCACACCCTTGGCCAGCTGGACCAGCTTGGTGACAGCGATCCACTGTCCTTGGTCTCCACTGTGGGCCCCACAGCCTAGCCTCAGCTCCTGTCACATCCATGACCAAGGCCCTGAAGGCCACTGCCAAAGCCTCCGTGGCCTCCCGGGGCCTCCTGCTGCACTGGTGTCATCTGTCATTTCATGGGTTCCCAAGGAAGAAGTACTGTAGTCTTTAATCGGACTGACAGTGTTTCCCCTCATCATGGATACCTTACAAAATAGTTTATTATCTTTTAATTCTATTTTTTCTTTTGGCCAAATTGACTTTGTGGCTGTAACCTCATGTGAAGTGGCTAGTTCTAATTTTAAGAAAGATTGGCCTTTCATATCCAAATTATTATAAACTTTATTTATTGTTAATAATTTGATCTGTCCTATTAATTTTGGTAGCACACCAGATTCCAGCTTGGGGATGAAAACAGTCACATGGCAGAAAAACACAATATCATTTTGAATTTCTTCCCAACAAAATCATTCCTTTCCCACGTACCAAATATTATTAGTAATGGCTGTACAGAGAAAAGGTCAGACGTGTGAGAAATTGGAATTCCACAGATTTTGTGGGTATAACCAAATCTTATTTCTGGACTTACAATCAGAAAGGGAAATGGGACTCTCATAGGAGTCATTTTGCAATGTTACCTATTTCTCATTGGCAAAATCTAAATATGATTTAGGACTTTTTCCAATGCTGGCTAACTGTAAATCTTACTTAATTGGAAAATGTGGGCTCTTTTTTTGTGATGCTGTATACTTCTTTTATTTATTTATTTATTATTTTTATTTTTTGAGACAGGGTCTCACTATGTAGTTGAGCTGACCTGGAACTCACAATGTAGCCCAGGCTGATTTTGAACTCTCAGTGATCCTCCTGACTCAGCCTCCCAAGGGCTGGGATTATAGGCCTACACCACCCCCACCAGCTTTGTATAGTTCTTTTTATGTGGGCTCTTAATGGACAGTGTCTTAGTTTACAAGTCCTATTTATTATATTCCAAAATTGGTACTTTCCAGAAAATTCCCATAGATTGAACTGGAGATCGAACTCAGGACCTTGAGTTTGTGAGGCAGGTGTGGCACCACTGAGCTAAATCCCCAGCCTTTCCCATAGATTCTTAGCCCTTGTCCCTGCTCTGTGAAGTGTTGGTCATTGTCTCGTAAAGACTTTAGAGTCCGTCTGTATTAGTGTTGTGTGCAAGCTTTGCTGAGTTTATGTGGACTCCTTTGCACCTCTGACTTCAGAAGTACTACAAAGTTTGCCTCGTGATTTTTTCCTCCATTTTTGTAATGCACGATTTTCCTTTAAAAGAGTTCCTATCCTTTCCTCTCTTTCTGAAATAACATTTCCCTTATCTGTCCTAATTTTTGAAATTTAATTATATTCTTTTATGTCTTTCTTTTTTCTCCTCCTCTGCTGAGCTATATCCCAGCCCTCCTTTTTATTTTATTTTTTATTTTAGACAACATCTTGCTAGATTGCTCAGGCTGGCCTTGAGCTTGTTATCCTTGTGACTCAGCATCCAAGTAGCTAGGATTATAGGTGTGTGCTACCATGCTCAGTTTGTGAATGTTTTTTCTTACAGCAAATTTAGCTTTTCCTAAAATTTCTCATGTAGTACCTGAATCTTTCTATAGTAGCAAAGTCTCTTTCAGTTCTTGTATTTGGCTAATTTTGATAAACTCACCACGAATGTGGTTGGCACTGGAAACTAAAATAGGGCTCTGCCAGTCTAATACCCAGAATTTTTTAAAAAAAAACCTAAAATGTACAAAAATCAATAGCTGGCTGTGGTGGCACATGCCTGTAATCTCAGCACTCAGGAGGCTGAGGCAGGAGGAGCACTTCAAGTTAGAGGCCAACCTGGGCTATATAGTGAGTTCAAGGCCAGTCTGTACTATAAAGCAAGACCCTGTATCAAAACCCCAAACCAGACCAAAAGAAAAAAGTACCAAAATAAGAGAATCACTTTCTAAGAGTAGTATAAGCTTTGAATCTTTCCAAGGGTAAAGACTCAGTTTAAGTAAGGTAGGAGGAGGTAAGCAAACAGTCATAACAAAAACGTGCTGAGTCAGGAGATGGAATAATATTGTATCCTGTGAGTGAGAGGCCAACCTGGGCCTCAAAAGAAGAAGAAGGGGGAGGAGGAAAGGAGGAGGTGGAGACTACAGACTCATTAGAGATTCTTTATTTAGAAGAACAAAAAGTCCATGTAATAATACCACGTCATCATTTGTAATTTCACTAAAACCATCAAGTTTAGCAGTATTCTCGTAAATGCAGACATTCGTGGCATAAAGTATGACACTAACAGGAGGGGATTAGAATCAAAGGAGGGAACAAGGAGGAGGCGACAGTGTCCTCTGGAAACTCATCCCGTGTCCCTCTGACAGCCTGCGCCTCTGCCAGCACAAGCCAGAAGTTTGGCCTCGCTGGAGGGCAGGGGAATTCTGCCCACCTGCAGAGAGGAGACTCTGTGTACATATTTCAGAGCCCCACCTACGGACACAAGGGTATATGGCAGACGCTGGATTGGTTGTCTACGATGGGGAGAATAATGAGAATGGAAGAAGAGGAAATAGGTGGAGGGAGGGCGGGGAGGGAGGGGAAGCAGGGCAGGAAGGAAAGTGAGCAAGAGGCCCTTTGTATTCCAGAGAGGACAGTGTGCAGTGACTGAGGCGGATATTTAACTGTCTGCTCTGCAGTGAGAAGGAAGACTTCGGTGTGCATGTTGGTCTTCTTTATACACTCACATAGCAGACAGCCTGTGCACTTGTATCTTTTTTTTTTTTTTTTT